ATAGCGTAGCCGTGTCCAAACAGGAGTTGTAAAACTCACTAATCTTGGGCTTGTAGTCAGACAAAATCGTCTTCAACACGGCTTGGTTTTCGATGTAGATCTTGGAGAACGACGTATCGACTTGGTGTCTGTCCGGGGGGATCACAGCATCATTGTACCACGCGCCACACGCATATCGGTAAATGTCGTCGCAGGGGTTGATGGAGTAGTCGATGAGCTTGGTCACAGACTCGGGGAGTTCCGTGACGGAGCCAGCCGTAGCGGCAGCGGCCAACACGCTGAGGGAGATGAGGACTTTGACCATCGCAGAGCAAAAAGGAAAATGAAGTTGGCCAAAAATGTCGACCATTGAAGCGAAGACCAGGCGTGCAAGTCGTTCAACGCAATCAACCGGATTCTCATAACGAATACTATCTAGCTACGTTCACACTGTTGCTGTTCATATACATTGGTACGAAGCACAAGACTTATATATATCTCAAAATTCCGTTTAGAAAGAAGTACCGATGCTCTTGAGATTCGGCGGGCCACACAACAAAATATTGCGTCCTCGTCCGTTCGGCTTGCTGAGTTTATCAGGGAGCATGATGTTGACCTTGGACCTTTGCAAATACAGTATGCATCTGTTGTTGCAGCACGATTGCCAGTCTCGGCTCCGATCGAAATTCCCTATAACGCGACGATGCAACAACTGCGCCACGTTGACCAGATGGCCGAAAATCATGCGGACGAGCGCCGAAGAGACATCAACATTGAGTCTGAGCCGTATCGAATGGTTCGTATCCGTATTGGCTCCGTTACGAGTGCCCTAGTAGAATGTTGTTGTTATATATCTGTGGAGGACATGCGCAGAAGTCTTGGACTTCCTCAGTGCGATTTGACACCGGCATTTCGAGCCCCATTGCATGGCTTATCTGAGCCCCTTTTAAATACCAAGGATGTAGATCACATTGAGGAATAATAGGAATAATTCATTTCAATGTGTGACAAGTTTACATTAGAAATAATTCTTTGTATATATAGATGATCACTTTGGTAACCACAATGTCTGTACAAATTGTATGCTACGTCATCGCTCGATTTTGTGCATTCAACGAACGCAACATCTAACGTTGCCCGTATATCAAACCTAAATGCCATCGGGTATTTGTCAATCCAACGTTTCAGAAGGCTAAATCCAACTTCGATTGGATTGAGCTGTGGTGAGTATGGGGGCAAATAAAACAAAAGGGCGCCTGTTGCGTGGACGGCATCTTGCAACTGCTTGTACATATGGATCTTGGCATTGTTCAAAATCAAAATGGACCGCGGGAGTGGCCAAGGGTTGAGGTATGGCAATATTCTTTCGACCATAACGCGATGGAAAATTGCACGGTCGAACGTGCCTACAATTACAAGTCTCATTTAGATATTCCATTGCTAAAATTATACTAATATAAGATTTGTCCGTTCGATACCATCAACATAATCCCACGCCAGAAACCCTAACGTTGTGAAGGCTGCTAGAGCTGACACTCGTTCACCCCTGGAAAACGGTAAATCCACAATCGCCTTGGTGTTGCGCCTCGACCACGCAAACTTCCGCACAGCATCGCGGCGTCCTTGGAGGTTTCATCCACAAACACGAGCTGATCCGGACGGGAGTAGAAACACTTCAAACGCACGTAATAGTCCTGCAGCTCGAAATCCGCAGCCTCGCGCGCACGCCGTTCCAAGACTATATATGCAAAGTTATTAACACATTGACACGCGTTCCATTCATAACCTTTTCGGGTAAGTCCGAGGTCATGCATCAATGCTCTGCAGATGGTTGACGGTGATACATTGTTGAGAGACGGAAATTGGAGCTGGATTGCTTCTTGTAGCTCCTCGATATAGAAGCAGGGATGCGAAATTGCGTAGTCGTTGACCCACGCGTTCACAGTGTCTGGCCACCGTAGGGTAGTGGCACGTCGCGCCTTGCCGTCGACGTAACCAGTTCTCGAGAACATCGCATTGAAGCGAGCCACGGATCGATACGATAGGCCAAGCACAAGCCTCACCACTTCAATATCTATCCCATAGACCTGCACCAGGACTACACATCTCCAACGCATGTCAACGCTGATCATGACAAAACAACTTGTTTGCCACAACGAAGTCGGCAAACAACTTGATTAACGAAAATGCCTTTTAAACAACTGCAACCATTTGATATGAACCAATCACCATTAGTTCTGACGCTAGCTTAAACAACGCACCCAACCGTTATTCAAGTTACTTTAGACGTTATTTAAGCCTGAGAAATTTTTAAACAATGATTTTAACCCTGGAATTGCCAAAAAAGGTGCAAAGCACAATACAATTCCCTGATGAAAACAATTCCACTGTTGCTTTTCTCAGAAGACACTGCAATTGGAGTGTTTCGATGGAACTGCATCTCAGTGGTCAGCAATAGCTAACCACTTACGATGCAGTTAACCCCTAGTAAGAAGTGAGGTGGTCCGAGTATACAAAGTTGAATAATTCCCTCATTAAAACAGTTCCAATGTTGCTTTGACCCAAAATACTGTTTCAATGTGTAGTAAGTAGTACAGTATCCTATTACTTGAAGTAGTACTATTAATACTATTATTATTCATACTCCACAACCGGTATATTTCTCACATTGTTCAATATATTTTAAATGATGTTCCCTCTATTTCGATTTTAGATGCAAATCAAGTAAAAAAGCGTAGAACTGTTTTACAGTGATGAAGGAATTATTACTCGTACACTGTAGACCCATACACTAGTTGTGACTGTCCGAAAACTCTCTAATATTGTGGAATATCATTGACCAAGGTGCATCCACAATTGAATAATTCCCTCATTAAAAATGTTCCACTGTTGTTTTGACCCGAAATACTGTTTAGGGAATTATCACATCCGGATACACCTTTTCGCCCGTAGCTCTGTAACCTAGGACTCCGTCCTACCCCCGGTGAGTATATGCGATGCTAAATTTCCGGTTGGTTGCGTTGAACGAATTCGATGTCTTCCGAGTATTCGATGCATTACCTGTTAGTAGTATCCTATTAACTGTAAATTAATACTATAAATAGTACACCATATTTTTAATAAAAAATGTGTACTTCGAAGTAAAAAAATGGTGTACTTCGAAGTAAAAAAATGGTGTACTAGTAATATTAATAGTATTAATAGTACTACTTCAAGTAATAGGATACTGTACTACAGTACTTACTACACATTGAAACCGTATTTCGGGTCAAAGCAACATCGTAACTGTTTTAATGATGGAATTATTCAACTTTGTATACTCGGACCACCTCACCTCTTACTAGGGGTTAACTGCATCGTAAGTGGTTAGCTATTGCTGACCACTGAGATGCAGTTCCATCGAAACACTCCAATTGCAGTGTCTTCTGAGAAAAGCAACAGTGGAATTGTTTTCATCAGGGAATTGTATGTCTACGTTTACTCTATTCCACATGCCGACTTCAATATGAGATAGGTTCGTGGATACTACATAGATAGTATTCGTTATGAGAATCCGGTTGATTGCGTTGAAAGACTTGCATGCCTGGTCTTCGCTTCAATGGTTGACATTTTTGGCCAACTTCATTTTCCTTGTCGCTCTGCAATGGTCAAAGTCCTCATCTCCCTCAGCGTGTTGGCCGCTGCCGCCACGGCTGGCTCCGTTACGGAACTCCCCGAGTCTGTGACCAAGCTCATCGACTACTCCATCAATCCCTGCGACGACTTTTACCAATATGCGTGTGGCGCGTGGCACAATGATGCTGTGATCCCCCCGGACAGACACGCAATCGATACATCGTTCTCCAAGATCTCCATCGAAAACCAAGCCGTATTTAGCAAGATTTTCTCTGACAACACGACCAAGCTTGGTCAGTTTTACAACTCCTGGTTGGACACGGCTACGCTATCGTCGCTCGGCCTGACTCCGCTGGAGGACTCGTTCAAAGCCATTCGGTCGGCCAAAACCACGTTGGACCTCCTCATCGTGGCAGGTGAATTGGTCTTGTCGGTGGATGGAATTTTCCACCGGACGGCAATTTCAACAGTATCTTGGTATTGGTGCTTTTTCCTCAAATACTGCGCTATGATTGGCGAGTTTCCTTTTGTATACAATTGATAGGATGAGTTAAGACGTAGCCGTATATCATACAGTTAGCAAGTAGTCTTGCCGATTGAGATCTTTAGTTACAAAGTGAACTTAAGCTCTAATTTACTTCTGAATTGACCGTGTTAGTGTCAAGTGTGTTTGTTCCTACGTTGGAGCGACAACAAAGAATTTTTTAGCGAATTTCTCCTGCGCTCTCGAGTTGTTAGCGCTTACCCCTGTCCGTGGCCTTTGTCGACAAGGCCCGTACTGACCCAGACCCAGACTTCTACCCAGACCCCACGTGCATCAATGGATCAAGACGAGCCCCCACCGTTGACGCCACGTGGCCGGACCGGCATGGTGTTACACCGCACCCGGTCCCAAGAAGACGTGTACGCGCAGCCGATGGACATCCCTGTGGTAGCGTACGCCTGATATGGCTGTGCGCCACCTGGGACAGCAAGTGCGCCAGGCGGTGGATGCCCAAGGTGCTCTCATCGACTCAGTGCAGCAGGCCGTGGGCGCTCAGACACAGCAGACGTACGAACTGCTTATGGTACTTCACCAGCAGCAGCAAGTACAGGCCCGAGAGATGGAAATGAATCAGCGTCTTATGGCCGAGCTGGTGGACCAACGTGACTGCCAGCAGATCTTGATGGACCAGCTGTCGGCTCAACGAGCGACAGCCGAGCATCATACCCAAGGACTTCGGGCCTCAGCTGTGGCGTCCGTCCAGCAGTCCGACGCGTTGGAAGAAATGCGCCGGCGTACCAGTGCCCGATGGCATGCTTTCACTGCTGCTCCGGCCCAAGTACCGGCGCCAGCGGCAGCACTCGGAATCCAACTTGTTTACGGATTCCAAGAAGTCCCGAAGGCTCCTGCATTCAACGGGAGTACCAAGGTCCAGAAGCGCCGCTTTATGGATCTGTATGAGGCTTACCGGCGTGAGATTGCGCTGGCGAATGCCCGACGGCCCGGAGGTCAACAAATCATGTTGATGCCTCTCAGCGGCTGTATTGACCCTCTGTCGGTTGAACGCATTGCCTATTGGAAGATTGGCAAGGCGAGCCATGGACTGAGGACGATTGGCGAACCTACTTCCTGGGGGCACGTGAGTGTGACCCCGTGGACATGACCAAACTTTGCCAGAACATGTCAAAGCTCAAGATGGACAGATCCATTCAATCGGCCGAGTCTCGGGTCTCCAAACTCGTGAGCGACTTTGAAGCCATCCTCGTCCGTCTGTCCATCGAAGGTTTTGCTGAATCAGAACCGAAACTTACGGTTGACTTCCTTATGGCAGCCATCACACCGCCTGTGGTGCAGAAGCGTGTCAAGGAACTCATGAAGAAAGACGCCCGTGCATTCAAGACTTGGTTGTCCGAGTATATGCCTCGGTATGGCGAGTTCGAGCCGTTGGTGCAAGCCTTTCCGGCCCCACCAAAGACGGTCGATCCACCGAAAGGTGACCCGAAGCCGCGAAAGCAGAAGGTGGTGGCCGTAATCAACGTGCACAAGGTCCCGTTGACCAACTTTATACCCGCCAATGGCAAGTCGGTGTGTTTCAAGTGCCTGAACCCGGACCATGGAGTATTCCAGTGTACGAAGTGTGCACCCGGTGAGGCACAGCTGCTCATGAATCGGGCCAAGGTTGTGTGGGCCGAAGCCCGAACAAATGCCAAGCCCGTGTCCGTGGTCACGAAGGTTGTGCAGCCCAATGAAGACTCGGCTGTGATGTGTGCGGCTCGGGTGGTATGCACGGCTAGTCAAGCCGTGGCGTTGGATGCGTCCTTTGATAGTGGCGCCGACCAAAGCGTCATGCCACCAAGCACTCTCCGGATGCTGCAAGATGCGGGTCGTGACGTTGTAGTGACCGATTTGCCGGCTCCGGTTGTGGTTCGTGGTTTTGTCGGCCCGAGCCATACGGTGACCCAAGAAGTCAAGTTGGACTTGAAGTTCGACACAGATGCGGGTCCCCTGATGCTCACGAATGTGAAGTGTTGGTTGTCGCTTGGCAATCTGCCTCATGGTGTGGGTGACATCTTACTGAGCCGGCCAATCATGTACAAGCTCGGCTACGACCCGCATTCCATGTTGCGAGAAGCCGCTGCGGTGTGCAGCGAATACGACATGGCCAATGTGGAATCAACAAGCGGCGTGGTCAAGGCTGTCATGCTTGCCACAAAGCAAGAGCTGACAGATGACCTGGCCGAAGAAGAAGAGGCACTGGTGCCAATGGAATTGGCCGCCTGCTTCCCAGACATGACCCCAGTTGACCCGAAGGTGGAACAAGCCAAGGTCCAACTGATATTAGACACTCGGGTGGCTGACGCTGTGGCAGCTGGTTGTGGACCGGAGTTTGCTGCTGGATTGTCGCAGCTACTCACCAAGTATGTTGATGTGTTCCGGCTGACTTTGGGCCGTGACCCACCCGTCAGCATGCCCCCACTGAAGGTTCACCTGGCTAAAGAAGCCAAGCCAGTCCGATGCAAGGCCCGACGGTATTCTCTTCCTCAGCGAGAGTTCATGCAGAAGCATGTCGAAGAGTTGGAGACGGCCGGGTTCATCTACCACAACCCGACCAGCCGGTGGGCGTGTGCCCCCCTGGTTATACGAAAGCCCCATACGAAGGATGAATTCCGTATGACGGTTGAACCCCGTCCGGTGAACAGCCAGACGGAACAGATTGCCAGGCCGATACCCATGTTGGAAGTCGTGGTGGACCACCTGAACGGTGCCACGTGTTTTTTCCTGTTGGACTTCTTCAAAGGCTACTGGCAGTTCGCACTTGACCCGAACTGCCAAGAGATGTTCTCATTCCTCACCGATACGGGTGTGTACACATCCAACCCGGTGATGCAAGGTGGCAGTGACAGCGTTGCGTATTGCCAGTCAACGGTCCAAGCAATGTTTGCCGCCCAGCTGTACAAGTGTCTGCTGGCCTGGCTTGATGACTTTCTGGGTTATCACAAGACCCCGGTTGGTCTGTTGGCTGCTTTAGCAGCTGTGTTGGAGGTGTGTGCTGTCAAAGGTTTGAAGTTACACCCCAAGAAGTGCCAGTTCTTCGTGAAGGAAGCTAAGTGGTGCGGCCGAATCATCAGCGGCGCTGGTGTGAAGCATGACCCGGTTCGGGTGGAAGCGTTGCAATTACTGCCGTCCCCCAACACCGGAGCCGACTTTCAACAGTATGTATGTGCGCTCAATTGGATGCGTATGTCCATACCCGGTTTCAATGTGTTGGTGCGGGACCTGACTGCTGTTTTGGAGCGCGTTTTGACTGCTGTCGGCGGGAAGCGTACGAAGCAGCTGGCTGCAACGGTGTTGTTAGCCGATGTCGGGTGGGATGAAACTCACGAGGTTGCGTTGGAAGCGACCAAGAAAGCTCTGGCCAAGGTGGTGGAGCTCAGTCATCCCGACCCGGAGATGCGGTTGTGTGTGTTAGCAGATGCCTCCGAACACCATTGGGGAGCCGTGATTACCCAAGTGCCCCCAGACCAACTGAGCCGGACCTTAGACACTCAAGAACACGAGCCCCTCATGTTTCTGAGTGGGACCTTCAAGGGCGCTGCCGGTCGGTGGGCGATCGTGGAAAAGGAAGCATATGCCATTGTGGAAACGCTTATACGGGCCGACTACCTTTTACATCCGTCGGCCGGTTTCAACCTTTACACAGACCACCGCAACCTGAAGTTCATTTTCAACCCGACGGCTGTGGTGGCGTCTGTTCCCAAGTATACGGCCCAGAAGTTGGAACGCTGGGCCCTGCTGTTGATGGGTTACACCTATGAAATCCATGACATCCCGGGTGAAGCCAACGTATGGGCCGACCTGTTGTCTCGGTGGGGTTCACCCCTCAAGTCTATCTGTGCCATCAGCCAAGAACCGTTGCTAGTGTCACCATTGCGCAGTGAGTCGTTCAAGTGGCCGACTCTGCATGCCATTGCCACAATGCAACGAGACAGTTTGACCCGAGACGTCCCAAGTCCACCCGAGAACCTGAAACTTAGCGACCTGAGTCATCACCACGTGGATTTGGATGACAGTGACCCGTGGACCATGCGGCTGGTGGAAGACCGGCTGTGGATCCCCGATGACGCGATGGAGTTACAGCTCCGGTTGTGCGTGTGTGCTCATGCCAGCCTGGCTGGACATCGCGGAGCCGACTTGACAATGGAGAATTTGTCCAAGTTCTGTTGGTGGACCATCCAGAAGACCGACGTACAGTTCTTCGTCGGCCGGTGCTTGCATTGTGCAAGTGTTGCGGGTGGCACTCCAAGACCCGTCGGTGAAGCTCTCCATTCCGACAAACCGAACGGTTTGCTCCATTGGGATTTCGTCTTTATGGGAGAATCGAAGACCGGTGAAAAGTACCTGCTGGTTGTCAAGTGTGACGCCAGCAAGATGGTGTGGTTAATTCCGGCCAAGGAAGCAACTGCACTGTTTGTCAAGTAATGCCTGCTGCAGTGGTTTGCAGTTTTTGGTATTTGCTATGAATGGGTGTCGGACCAAGGCACCCATTTCAAGAACCAAGTCGTGGCCGAGCTCCAACATTCCCTCGGGGTCCACCACCATTTTACTACTGCCCGGTGTCCATGGGCTAATGACACCGTCGAAGGCGTGATGCGCCACCTGTTGCGTCTGTTGCGTGCGTGCCTTAGTGAGTGGCAAATGGCAACGACTCAGTGGCCCGAGATCCACCTGGTGATCATGTTGATCATGAACCAGTTGCCCTCGCCATCCCTCGGTGGCATAGCACCTGTTACGGCCATGTCCGGTCGACCTGCCATGTCCCCGATGGACACGATAGCGTTACCCGGAAAGTTGAAGACAGCGACTTTGGTCGAAGTGGAGTCCGCACAGCGAGCCTATGTGGATGAAGCAAGAAAAGCGTTGGATGGCATGCACAAGGAGATGGCTGCCATCAATGCAAAGAAGCGCGAGCGAGTGAGAAAAACGCACGACGCGAAGAAAGGCGTACATATCGCCCAGTTCGTGGTGGAGGATTATGTGCTCTACCAAGACGTTTGGCAGCACCAACGGGCCAAGTTACGGACCAAATGGTGTGGACCGGCTGTGGTGACCCGAGTGACCAGCAGCTGGGTGTATGACATCCGAAACCTCGTGACCGGTGACGAACGGCCAGCTCACGCAAGCAGACTGAAGTTCTATGCCGACCAAGATCTGCACCTGCCCGAAGATTTCTTGGCTCATGTCGCCCACAACTCCGAATGTTTTGAAGTTGAAGCCATCGTATCGGCCCGATATGTTGCGACGAAGAAGGCGTATGAAGTGCTTATCAAACGGCGTGGCCTCCAAGCCCTGGAGAACTCCTGGGAACCAGCCCTGAACATCCAAGAAGACGTACCGACACTGTTCAAGGCTTATTGCAAGACTGCAAAGGCTCCTGTCGTTGTGAAGGAGATGGCGAAGGATCATGGCGAAAACTAGCCATGGGGGAAGTATTGTCGGTGGATGGAATTTTCCACCGGACGGCAATTTCAACAGTATCTTGGTATTGGTGCTTTTTCCTCAAATACTGCGCTATGATTGGCGAGTT